CATGACATTTTTTTAGTACATCATCAATTTTTGAATTGCGGATCTTAAAAATAGGTGTCGCATGACAAGTTTTGGCTTTGCTTTGATTCGCCAATTTCGGACTTTCGAACCGATGTTTTTGAATAAGGCAAACGCACCAGTATTGGCCATGTTCCTATTTTGGCCCTCTTTTGACGATATTTTACGTAGTTTATAATGTTGAGATGTTCAGTTGCGATCAGTTTGTTGGTACAAATCACATTCATCGGTGTACATAAACATTTTGACCACAAAATGCACGAATATTGTAATTTAACCGGTTTTTTGAGGTGTAGGCCAAAACAGAAACCTATGGCCAATAATGGTGTACTTAGCTTATATGATTTCCTAGGTGTCCGACATTCTATTAGTATTAAACACAAAGTAAACAGAAAGAGATCAGTGCTACAGTCATCGAGTTCAATAATATGAGTAATTCGTATCCCTCAAAAATATGCGACATACTTTACCTACTTCTTGGTTCCTGCACCATAGTGCCGAGATGAATAAAAAGAAGAACTTACTTTTGGGTTTTTTTCTTAGCGTATACGTTGGAAGGAAGCTGCAAAACACATCGTGTTCGATCAAACTGACTGACTACACGGAAAACAAAACATAGGGTTTGAATTTTTTTCAAGATTACTAAGGCTGTGTTCTAAGGGTGAATGTTTACTTAAATTTGACAGATGTAAACTTTTCAAATAAACCTGCTATTCCAGCAGACTTATTTCTCACCGATCAAAATTCGGACGATCAACACCAGAGGGATTTCCGAACACTATAATTTACTTTCGAAGTGTAAAGTATAAGTGAAAATTCGCAAAATGGAACTCAGCCTTGAAATCTGTGATTCTCGGTAGGAAAAGTGAAAAATCGGTAGTTTTGAGCCTTTCGTCTGTGAATCGGTAGGTATCCCAAAAATCGGTAGGACTACCGATAAATCAGTAGGTCTGGCCACCCTGTCCCCATGGACTAGCAACTTGTGCACTGTTGGAGACAATGCATACTAATCGTATAAATTCTGGAATAAGACTCTAGTCTCTTCAGCATGAATTTCAAAAGAAAAAATAAATCTTCGACTTACAGTTAATTACAGTAAGCAGAATATGAAATCGCTCCAACCGATTTTAATTGAGATCGGTAATTTTGCTGCAGCTTTCCATTCACGGAAAACTTCCGGGCGGTGTTTCCGCCATAAGAATTTCCGCCACCAGACATAGGCTCAATGATGCGTAATCCTGTTAAAAAGACAATTTGCTTCGAATTTCCATTTCTCTAGCTTTCATCGCTTCATTTGCCTTGCTTACACGCCATGTAGGTTTATCAAAGGCCAGTCTATACGACACTTTCAGAACCATTTCCATCGTTCTAATATAGAGCATTTCCAGCTCAAATCGTTAAAAAAAATTCAATTTTGTCTCGAGCCCTTCTGATTTGAATGAAACATTGCTCACGTGTTCGCTGCTACTAATGGTTGCATTTTTCATTTAAATATGATTTTTACCTCCAGAGTAACTTTTGAAAAGGGCGTATAAAAAAATGGATTAATTTTTTGCAAAAAATCATAACTTGTAAACAATTGATCTGATGAAAATGGCATATGAGAAAAAGTTTTAGGTAATTAAATTATCTTTGCGGAAAAAATACACTGAAAGAAAAAACTTCGTAAATTAGTATTTAAAAAACGTAAAACGATGATTATCTCAAAACACCCCCCCTTCGATCTTTATAAATTTTTTTTCAAGAAAATTGATGGAATACCCTTAAATTTCGTGAAAAGTGTATGCTGGTAACTTTCTTAGAAAGAAATCTAAAAAAAAAATTTTAAATTTTTGTTGGTTTTTACAAGTTGATGAAAATGCATATTTTTTAGTAAAATAGTAATTTATTTGAATTTTACGCATAATTTTCGATAACTTTGCATATGAAAACTTTTTTCCTAAGTCCAGCCGTTCTCAAGTTAATGCGAATTAAAAAAATATAATTATAACAATTTTCAACATTTTAGGCCATTTTCAAATGTTTGTCGAGATGTCCAGCAACGAGATTTTTTTTTCATGATTGTATATTAAAAAACAAACAATTCATTCTCAGATATGGTAGCTGTCAGACTTACCCGTTTATATCTAGAGGCAGAGGAAGAGAAGCATTTCTTCAGTCTGATCACGTCGACGTTGGTTCCTATTTGCAACTCTTAGACAACATTCCGTTTGTGGGTTTCGTTCTTCACCATCTCGCCGGTTAGTGGCGAGCGTTGCAGCAGAGGATGAGGAAGAGAGATCCGTAGCGGTGGAGGTGGAAGCAGTAGCAGCAGGAGTTCTGGCAGCAGCAGTGGCAGTAGCAGCAGCAGGAGCAGTAGCAGTAGCAGTAGACTTGGCAGTAGACTTGGCAGTAGAAGTGACAGCAATGGCAGCAGTAATAGTAGTAATAGTAGTGGGAGCATGAGTAACGACAGCAGCAGCGGTAGTAGCAGTAACAGTTGCAAAAGTGTCGGTGGATGCATTCGAAACGGAACTTGCGGTATTTTGGGTAGCTGTGAGTTGGTTCACAGAATTGTTTTCCACGATAGGTGATAGAGCAACCAGACCATCCTTACCAGCTGATGCGTTCTCCAACCGTTATTGCAAGGAACTGTCCAGGATTTTCCGATCAATACTCGAATCGAAATCCACAACAGCGCCAGGAAAACAACCAGACAGTAATTGCTGGAGCCGATTGGATGCCGATTCCCTTCTGTTATATGGCACAGTCGATAACATTGTATTGAGAACTTTCAAATTTTCTCCATATTGTCCTATGCGGAAGTCCATGGAATCCAAACGTATGAAAAGATCCCTCAAAGTTTTCAGTAGCAGTGTCACTCGATCCATGACAACAGGATTGAAATTAACTCGGCATATGTTGCAAAACCACAGTAGTCCAACATTCGCCGTCCAGGCTTTGTGATTCGTCGCGTTTAATCCAACACAGCAGGGATGAAAAATAAATTAGCGCATGATCCACTGCACAGGACGATCTTATCCGTGGGTTTAGTAAGATTGCCACAAATTCTACAGGGATCCATGATCATCAAATTCACCCTACGTTTCTGCAGCACACTTTCAGATAGAATAGATTTCTATCTGAAAGTGTGCTGCAGAAACGTAGGGTGAATTTGATATCCTGGTAGGGATTACCAGGAGAAGTATGTACATGCAGTTGAGAACAAGAAATAGCAATACTTAGAAATCTACCTTGAACTAGAAATGCACAGCACAATGGCTAGCTAGGTTTCCTATTCAATGGCAAATAACCGTATCGCTCAGAATCCACAAAAGCATCCGACCAGAACCAGAATCTAGGCGAGTTGATGTTTACCAACTTTTGACACCGTCGATATACACAACAACAGCTACTTTTTTCACGCATCAGCACCGTTTGCACTGTTTAACTTGTAGCCAGGACTGGCTCAGGTTGAACAACACGACTTCCGAGACTGTCGTATATAGACACCTTCGCTATCTTATCTATTCGTAAACAGTGGAACGTGAGAATAACTAGAGCAAAACAGAAACAGTGAATTCTAGTAACTACCTAAAGAGCAACTAGCACAGATCCGGAGAACTTTGAGATTTTGGCGTAATTGATTTTGTAAACAAACACGTTAATCGCCGATTCCTCGCGAATTAAAGCTCAATCTAAAAAATTAACAACTCAAACAGGTAGACGAATAATTCCTCTATCATTTAGTATAGTTTGTTCACGAGAAATCGGCGATTGACTTGTTTGTTTACAAAAGCAATTACGCTCAAAGTTCCCCGGGGATACAGTATGAGTCAAAGTAGATAACGAGTAATACCACCGATCGTTCTCAAAAGAAAAAAAACAAACACTCCTGGCAACGATATACCACTGTCAATGGCGACAGAATAGAAGCAGGGAGTGAATTATCAAACCATTACACGATTCATCACTGAAGTTGCAGTCCAAATGGTAGTAGACGATACTACTACCACAAACGAAGTGACAGACGGAGTGGCTCGAAAACTTTGGTGACTAACCTGCTATTGCAGTGTACCACATGGCAACCCTACTACTGGATTGTACTTTTCATTTTCACCAAATGTATTAGAATGTTTTGGTTCTATCTCTTTCACTCTACTCAAAACTGAAATGCATAAAAAAATGACAAAATGATACACTCTTTGCACACTGTCAAAGAATAATTGTACACAAAATCAACTTTGTTCAAATCAAAACAAAAAACTAACCCATCTGGTGGATGATGGCACAAGCTTTTAAGAAAATTCTAATACAGCGAACTACATTATTTTAATTGATTTCTTCGCCAGTTAGTCGTCTGTCACTTCGTTTGTGCTACTACCCGGAAATATTTTTTTTATTTCGTGATAACCTGTAAGTTATCGTTCGTTGTGTACGGTCGAGATTTTGTGTAAGAGATTCCATGAAAAGTTCATCAATGACTGCCGAGATCTTAGCATGCATAGTTCCATGCCTCGCTTTGCTTCTAGCATCCAACGACAATATTTTAGAAAAAGAAAATAAAGAGATTTCCATTTACTTTAACATCCCATTTTCCAACAACCACCCTAGCCTCGAACCACCACATGCAACATCATTTCAATAACACGCCGTTTGTCCTAAATGCTCTCCCCCTGGCTCTCCGCGAGAAAACATGAATGACGGAGATCTCTCCTTCTCTGCATCACATGGGTCCGTACGCGCGATTGAACGCACACCCATCCACATCTGCCCACTCTCTGTGTGCATCAATGTGTTGCTTGCCCACCATGCTAGACAGCATAACACCCGCAACCTCCGCACGCACGCCGGTCTGAAGCAATGTGAGCGAGCATCCCCCGACGAAAGAGACGCGCCGTTTTCCATCAACCATTCTCTCGCGAACCGCGTCGGCAGTAGGACGCAAAACTGGTGTGAAGCATTACCGCGTGGCGTGTGGATATATCTACATATAGCAGTGACAAACTTACTAGCTGTGTGCCTGTCTTGGTCTTCTGAGTTGCGAAGAAGAACCCCAAGTCAAGAAGTGCTGTCTCCTTGTGACATTCGACCGCGCTCGTCGCGCGGGGAAAGTGATACTGAAAGTGAACCTTTCGACGAACGAGTGATTTCGAATTTCGCGATTGAAAATTGTGTTGCATCAGTGCGAGTGTGTGGTTTTGAAAATTTTAACGCTTCCATAAGGATTACCGCAAGGAACGGCAGCAACCATGGGCGATCACGCTGTACCAACGAAGGGAAACGTGCTGGGATGTAAGTGTATATGTGTGTGTGTGTGTGGATTTGGGCGAGGAAGAAAAGGGCTCTTTATGCTTTCCAAAAAGGTCAACGCGTCCTGAGAAGTGTCCGAGTTGTTTTTTTTCCTTCCAAGTAAAACGGCTTTGCATTTCCATACGGTAGGATGCTGGGAGTTTGGTTTCAAGGCTAAAAGGCTGGGTCGGAAAAGTGTTGTCTTCATTACTGTTGGCATCGACATATGAAGGACGTCTGCCAACCGAGCAGCAGTGCGTGCGGTAGTTTAACATTCAACTTTTTGGTAAAGGTCATCGTTTGGTGAAGTACGATGGAAAATTGACGGCGTAGGTGGTGGCAAGCGGAACGGAGTGGATTCGAAATACAAACACCGCTCAAAAAGAAGAAAATTGTTCCACTTTCTCGACCTTCGATTGGGAAAGAATGTGAACGACGTTAGAATAAGTCAAAGGAAGACGGATAATTTGTTATTAATTTCATATTTAGCTATTTTTTTTTACGGAATGTGGTGATGATTAAAAAGTATTTAGAATTGATAGATAACGGAATAAATATCATATGGTGCATCTCAGAGTCCCTCGTCAGCCTAGAAGGAGCAGAGATTTCTCGTCTTTATGTATTCGAGGTGATAAGATTTTTAGCAACAAGCTACCAAACTTTTAATGTGATACGTTTTCGATGGATTAGAAAACATCACCTTGATCATGTTCATACTCTCGGATACACCGTTCGAAAAATTCATGTTAATTTCTGCGAGATATAGCGCACATTAAATTAACGCTAGATGTGGCATAAATTTACCCGATATTTCGTGTAAATTTAAGCGCAATATCATATAAATTAGTAATTTTGTATGCAAGCTTGTAAACGATTTTGCTGTTTTTGCCAAGTATAGCTCAGAATTAAACGAAGGGAGATTTTACGCGTTAGTTAAAATTCAGAATATTTTTCTGTGTAGCATCTATTGAACAGACAAATTTAAAAAAATTGAATCGATATGAAATTTTACTGGTCGTCACAACTGAAAATAACAATAGATTATTTCTATTTGTGATGACCAACTTAATATCAAACATCCACATTCCACATTCAGAAGAGGTATTAAATATTTAATATTTTGAGAAGAGATAGTAGAGATCAAATTTAATTCTGTTTATAGCTCTTCCTTTTTGTGAATTTTATGTAGTATGAGGCAGGGCTGTGGAGTCTGAGCCAGAGTCATCCAATCGGAGCAGTGTTGTCATGGTAAATTAAGAGCTGGTTATTAACTGATTTTCCATATGTGCGCCCCCTTTTAGAAGCACCCATGAATGTAATTAAACAATGAAAACTGCATTTACACATAATTCATACCCTCTCATTGATACAGGGATATGGGTAAAACAGATTATCTGCAAACTGCTGGCCACAAATCTTAAAAATTCAGACTACTAAAATATAAAGATTTCCATTCATAAAATATAATCAGTTTGGTTTTTTTTCTGTCAATGTTAACGGAACTGCACTTAAAATGTTTCAGCTTCATCTTCATCTCCAGCTTTTCTGGAGCTTTTGCTTCTCAGAACTTTTCTGAAGTTCTCAAAGTTACAACTGACGGTTTTCATCTTCTACATCTTGAAGTTAAGAGAAATGGATTTTATTATGAAGTGGTTGATTTAAACAGACCGCCATCTTTTGATTTTAACCGGTTCCATGATGAATTTGAAAACATATTGTCGGTTCAAAACACGCGTTCTCGTTTCTTCGTTGGTGATATGAATATTCCCATCAATTTATCAACTAGGGTATAAAACCCTATTAGAATCCTATGATTATGTTTGTTCAAATACATTTGCAACTCGACCAATTAGTAAAAACATCTTGGATCATTTTGTATGCAGTAATGATGATTTGGGAAGCATAAGAAATGATACTATTTTTACCGATGTGAGTGATCACTTGCTAGTAGTTTCTTCCCTCAAAATTAAAAGACCTAAAGAATGTATTGTTTTAACTAGAAAAATTGTTGACAAAATCAAGCAAAATAATCTTTTCACTCGTTTTTTGAACGATTTCGTTTGCAGTGACGATGTGAATGATTCAATCAACACTTTAACAAATACATACAATAGATTTTTAGCCCAATGTACGAAAACTAAAAGTGAACAAGTCAAAATGAAATCTGAACATTGTCCTTGGCTCAATTACTACGTATGGCAATGGAAAAAACTTAAACACAAATATCTTAAAAAAGTTAAAAATGATCCTTACAATAACAACTTGAAGAATTTGTTGAAACATGTGTCTAAAAGAACAGATGATGCCAAAAAAGGATGTAAAATAGATTATTATAAAAATTTGTTAGAAAGTAAAACTTAAACGAGATTATGGGCCGTTCAAAACCAGTGTCTCGTTTTGAGCTTAATAACAATGGTTCAAAAACATCTAAAAATTCTGAAGTTTGTGAAATTTTCAATAATTTCTTTTCCCAAATTGGTTAAGGGAAGCAAGGTTGGTTGCTGATAAAATTCCGAAAAATAACTTAAATCCTTTGAAAAACGTTACTCGATTGGAACGTTCTGTCTTTCTGAGACCTGCAAATCTGAATGAAGTGACAGGAATTATAAACGAGCTGAATGTAAAAAAAGCAGTGGACCTGATAATTTTCCTGCTAGTGTCATAAAAAGTAATGCAACTAAATTTTCAGACATTCTTCAATCAAATACTAGTACAAGGTACATATCCTGAGAGTCTCAAAATAGCAAAGGTAACTCCTATATTCAAATCCGGAGACTCGTCTGATCCCTGTACTTTTCGACCTATCTCTTTCTGTCTTTAGCAAAATTTTTGAAAAATTTTTGATCAATAGGTTAGTTAATTTTATGAATCAATATGATATTCTTTACAAATTTCAATACGGTTTCAGAAAGGGATGCAGCACTTCTACAGTCATAGTAGAACTGGTAGAGTACCTATCTAGTAATATTGACAGTAAGTCCGTTGTTGGTGGCCTCTTTATTGACCTTAAAAGGCGTTCGATACTCTGAACCATACCATTCTTTTGGTTTGGTAGAATACTAGAGGTGTAGCAAATGACATTATTCGTAGTTATTTAACTAATAGGCAGCAATATGTAGCTATCGAGGATTCAAGAAGCTCTTTGTGAACGTTTAATATTGGTGTCCCTCAAGGCAGTAATATTGGCCCTCAATCCTTATTTACATAAACGATCTTGGGAATCTGTCTCTTAAAGGAATACCAAGGCTATTCGCTGATGATACAGCAATCTTCTACCCAAGTCAAGATACTTCTTCCCTTATTTCTAGCCTAAATGATGATTTGCGAATTCTCATGAGGTTTTTTGATTAAAATTTATTATCTTTAAATTTGGTAAAGACTAAATACATGTTATTCCATTCTCTACGGAAAAAATTCCTCCACACTCGAATTCGTCTGTTGGACAGACAATTGTCGAAAAAGTGTTCAAACTCAAATATCTTGGTCTAGTTTAAGATCCTGTGCTCTCTTGGGGTAGTCATATTGAACGCATTCAAAGTAAAGTTTCATTACTTTGTGGTTTAATGTACCGAGTTAGACATTTTGTTCTTCGTGGTGCACCCCTTAAATTTTATTTTGGGTGCATACACTCGCATTTGCAGTATCTGATCATTGTATGGGGCCATGCCTGCAAATATGAACTTAAAAAACTTCAAATTTTGCAAAACAGATGTTTAAAAATTGTGTATTCACTATCACGGTTATATTCTACACTTCTTCTATACACTAACGTCATGCAAAACGCTTTACCAATACGAGGGTTGTGTGAGCTACAAACATGTTTATTTATTTATGATATAATAAAAAATCCAAACATGCATCATAATTTGATTTTACCTATTAATTCTCATGCTCACAACACGAGATATGCAAATAATTTAGGGCGAACTAGATGTTTCAGTAGTATTGGTCAAATGCGAATATCTTGTTACGGCCCTTCTGTATATAACACACTGCCAGAGCGATTGAAATTCATCAACAACAGAATGTTATTCAAAACCAGTTTGAGAAAGTACTACAGATCTAAATCTGTATCAACCGCAAAAAAAATCAATTGCACTCTATAAATGTTATTCAACACGTTATTTTAAATATTGTTAAATAGTAAATGTAACCATCTAAGAAAAAGTTTTTTAATTAAGTTTTTCTGGGATCCCTTTAAAGAAACATAGTTCCACTGGGCTTCCCTTCTTTATTTAGTTTTTGTTTAGTGTTCATCACTTTCGTGCACACACCAATGAAGTTTATGTTTATATGATTGTATTTTTATTATTTTTTTGTATACCTTACGTTAAGTTGATGATGAGTCCACTACCAGGGGGCTCAAAAGAGCTTTTTGGTGTGGGGGTTAGTGGTGGGCAAAAAAAAATAAAAAGAAAAAAAGTTTCCCTTTAGATTTTCTAAATTTCACTAGAGTTTTATGAACTTCCCTAAAATTCACAAAACTCCTTTATGTTGCCGTTTTTTCCTTTAGTAAAAATTAAATGATTAATGCAGTTGAAAGATTTACACTGAAGTTCTTGAATTGTTTTAGAAGTTCAGGTAACTGCACTTAATTAAAAAAAAAATAGAACTAATTCTTTAAACTTCATCGAATGTTTAGACTTTCCTGAGATTTTCGATGCCTCTATGAAGTTATTGAAACTTTTTTAAAGTTCTCCAAACTTTCCTAAAGTTCTCTAAAATTTTCAAAAGTTTTCTGTACTTAGCTAAATTTCTCACGACCTTTTTAGGAAATCCCGCATATTTTCTGAAGCCTTTTTTTCTGTTCGGGACATAAAAGCTAATGCAGCTAGTTGAATTACTCCATCACCATTGAGAAATGATGACGTCTTCGGTTTTGATACAGTTGTCATTCTTGCGTTTATCGCAAAGAATCGATTCTAATTGTAAAGTCTCGCTATTTATACACTTCGAAAGGCGCGCCCTTTGTCAGTCAAAATTGGATTCCTTTTTTTTCCTTT